ATTAAATCTACCAAATAAAAATTTTTTAAATGTTCTTAATATGTTTCAAATAGTTTCCTTTTTTAAAAAATAAATGCTGCAATTCATCAGAAACTGTACTCACACACATAGAATGTGGCACTACATATGTGATAACACATGTTCCCCAATATAAAAACCTCAGAAGTTGTCATCACACCCAAAACTGCTGATACTTTGCCCAGGATCTTTGAGAAGAGTCCTCAGTACACTACAAGCTTATTAGGAAAGATAAACATGTACAACATAACTACCAAACAGACTAGCAACTAGAGACTGATAAGTGGGGTTGTTAAAAGAAAAAGAAAAAAACAGACAACCATAGTCCTTCTTCAAAGACATGCAATCAGAAGTAAAATAGATGAATTGAAAAAGTAATTTCAAAAAAATTTAACTGGGTACCCAGAACACATAAAAATACAGAAAAAAAAATGTTTCCCATGCAGTGCTTTACTTACACACCGCAACCATGATATTTCCCGTTATTTTTCATTTTTAACAACTGTTACTATGACCTACTAAATTGAATTCACAAGCCACTAATGGGTCACAATCTAAAGTCTGAAAAGCACTGGCTCATAGGAACTGACAATCACTGGAAGGTCCTTGTTTTCCCTATGAATATCTAGTTTTAGAAAACTACTCGGGAGGTGGAAAGAATGAAAAGACAATTCCTCCAGGGCAGGGACCGTGTATTACTGGCACATAATCATCACTCAATGTGTGCTGAAGAAATATATGGTGGAATATAAAGCACTTTTTTTTAAACCTTACCCGAGGACATTTTTCCATTTTTATTCAGATTGAGAGAGAGAGAGAGAGAGAGAGAAACATCGATGTGAAAGGGACACATCGAGTGGCTGCCTCCCGCATGACCCAACCAGGACCGGGGACAAACGGCAACTGAGGTAAGTGCCCTTAGCAAGAACCGAACCTGGGTCTCTCAGGACCACAGGCTGATGCTCTAACTACTGAACAACCGGCCAGGGTTATAAAGCACTTTCAAGGTGAAGACACACCTACAAAGGATACCTTAAAATAAATAAATAAATGAACGAATGAATGAATGAATGATTAGGAAAGCCTGAGTACTTTGCATGCCTTCAAAACCAAGGATGGTGAAAAGAGTTCCAGGCTGTAATACCAAATGACCCTTAAACAAATGAAGCACCAAAAGGAAAGGAAGTTTGTTCTTTAGGATAGGCTTTATATCCATCCATAACAGAAAAAAGAAAAATCACTTGTATAACTACATAATAGCCCATTACAGGTTCAAAAAGCTTATAAGCTACCCTTGGATAGAAATTCTAACCATTTCTTTCAAATATGAATGTCAAACTCCAAATGTGTAAATTCAACTTCAAATCAAAATTATGGAGGGCAATTCATTCTTAAATATTAAATCCCCTGTATCCATTTATAAACATTTAGTGTGTGATAGCCAAAAACTTAATGAGTGCTTACTATGTACCGAGCAATATGTTAAGTACTTAAAAAGGGTTATCCCATTTAAACCTAACAACCTTGTAAAGTGGATACTACCTTCATTTTATAGATGGGGAAAGTGAGGCTTAAAAGTTACATAAACAAGTTCACCAGCTAATAAATGGTGAAATTAAGATATAGTAAGTGCCAGTTTTATTATCATTGGTGGCTGCAAATCAGAATGTTTTGTTCCATTCCATTATTTGTTAATGCTTTTCTCAGAAACTAAACTTTGCATATCTTTCTGAATGAAGTGATTCATCTACTTCTAAATCTGTACAAAACTATAATACTGAAAAATTTTATCAAAAGGAAAAATTAGCCCCTTCTCAGCTTTAAAGATAAATTAGAGGCTAATTAAATGTAGTTATCTTATAAATAACAATATCATTAACACTGGCATTTTTAACAAACTATTTATCTGTTATGCAAAGTATTTAGCAACCTGTACTTTTATTTACCTTATTTACATGCCAAGTACTTATATTTTGAAAAACTTTGCCACCTTTTTATAGGCCATTTATTTCAGAACAAAAAGTCTGCTTCTAGCACAAATGGAAGAGACTGATATAGAAATAATTGTTACCAAATGTTGACAGAGTACATCCCAATTGAAAATTGTTTCTAGTCCATCCACACAATTTTTAAATTCATGTTGACTTTTTAGAAGAAACAAGACATCTTAAATGAAATTAAATATTATTTTTATCACTAAAAAATTTGAACCCAACAACAAAATGGAATGAAATAATACAGACTTGTATCTTTTTCACTTACATTTTAGAATTTGGAATTAAAAAATAATCCAGCCATGAATATAAGTACAGAAACCTAAAGGAAGATGAACATATGCTGACACTCTGATTAATGAAACAAGTCCAATTTTATGCAAGACTTGATACAGAAATAACACTTTTGGAAGAAATTCATTCATATATGATCCTGAACTTAACAGCAGCCATAACTAATTCATACAAAAAAAGCTCTTAATTTCAAAAAGGTTAAATTAGTATTGGTATCATTATAATAACCTGGTTATTATTTAACAAGAAAGAAGGGGAGACTAGATAATATAGGCATGCCATTTACACAGCTTTGCCAGAAAGCTGAAGTTAATACTCCCAAGATCTGTTCCCCACAAATCGATGGAGAAAGAGACTGAACAGACACATACCCAGTAAGCTCTGGGTGCCATGAGAAGGTTCCTGCCTGTCAATCATACCTGGGAACAGGTAACTGGCCAGACTAGGCATGGCCACTGCAAGGGCACAAAATCTGAGATATTTAAACTCCTGTACAAAGGAAGTTCCCTGTCTTGGCTCTTGGCTCTCTTGGGACTCCTAGTGCAGGGGGCACACTCTCATGCATTCGCTCAAGATCATGTGGTATGCACACAATGGACTGATGAACTGGATCTAGCCTAATGCTACATCATATTCAACTCCATCATGGAATGAAAGCTCTGGACACTGGCTCTGCTTCTTGCTCTACTGAACCCACAGCTGCATGTTTTCCAGGACTAACTTAAGGGAACTGTGACTTTGCAAACCAAGGAATATAACTCTACGCAAATAAAAACCACTCATTCTCCCATGCGAGTCTTAGAAAATTCCTTTTCTCAAGATAAAGCAAGAACCCCACTCCGATTAGTGACAGAGAAATCCGACCCACTCAATTCTCCGGCAACAGTATGAGTGCAATTATTGTTAAGTAATAGAGACTACTGAAAACAAAAAGAGATACAATGGAAAAATTAACTTTTTGGTTTTTTTCAGAGAGAGGAAGGGAGAGATAGGAACATCGATGTGAAAGAGAAACCGATTGGCTGCCTCCTGCACGCCCCCTCCTGGGGATTGAGCCCACAACCCAGGCATGTGCCCTGACCTGGAATAGAACCAGGACCTCTCAGTCCATGGGATGGGGCCTAATCCACTGAGCAACACTAGCCAGGCAACTTACTTTTTTTTTTTAAATCCTCACCTGAGGACATGCTTAGAGAGGGAGGGGGAGAGAGAGACAGAGAGAGACAAAGAGAGAGAGAGTGAGAGAAAGAGATAGAGAGAGAAATATCAGATAGGTTCCTTGGTTGTTTTTTTAATTTTTAATTTTTTTATCCTCACAAAAGGATATTTTTCCATATTTTATTCAGATGGGGGGGGGGGGAGAGAGAGAGAGAAACATCGACATGAAAGGGACACATTGAGTGTTTGCTACCCGCACGATCCACCTAGGGCCAGGGACAAACTGCAACCGAGGTACATGCCCTTAGCAGGAACCAAACCCAGGTCTCTCCAGACCGCAGGCCAACGCTCTAACCACTAGGCAAAACCGGCCAGGGCTAGGTTGCCTTCTGTAAGGTCCCCAAATGGGGATCAAACCAGCAACCCACCAGGAATAGAACCAGCAACCTTTCAGTGCACAGAACAACACTCAACCGAGTCATTCCGGCCAGGTGAAAAATTAACTGACTTTAATTTAATACACAAATCAATCAAGGGGGGAAGAAAATAGACAGAATTTATTTCCAGGTAATTAGAACTGATCTCAACTCTAATTTCAATGCCAGTAGTTGGACCCTAGATAACTCTTGGGTTTATTAAGTATTCATATTTACTAAGTACCAATTAATTTTTAAAACAAATTATATTCTTCATGGTTGGTGAAGAGCATCCAGTCTTTCTGGTATTCTGTAACTAATCAGTTTCTTTTTTACTAGTGAGATGGCATCATAACACGAAACCAAATATCATGTATATATATGCCTTGATATACAGAAAGCTTGTTTTATATTTAATGCACATTCGATTAATTGCCATATCCACAGTTCTCCCAAAATCTGTATTATAGAAAATATAATAATTACTTTCTATTCAGTTCACTCATACTTTTGGTCCTAATGTGCATTGTTGTTTTTCTTAAAAGTCTCTCAGAATTTAAATTTGTTTGAGAAACTATTCCTTAGTCATTTAAATTTGTTTGAGAAACTATTCCTTAGTTTAGAAAGAACTTTTTTAGTTACTGTCAAGATAATCTTAGACTATTCAAAGCCTTTAAACCCAATTGATTCTAAGAAATTCTTCCATCTATAAAACATGAGAATTACAACCAAATTAACAAATCAGAATCAGAATGCCAAAAATTAAGTCATTAAAAGGGAATCCAGAGACAGGGCCAGTTGTGAAAGAACAGGAAGTGATGTACACTGCCATTTTGTAGATGAACTATTTAGTATCAGAAGTACCATACTAATCTGAAATCAACCAACCCAGACTAAAAGCTCTCAGTATTATCTTTCTGACAGTGGCATCAGAGGTCGGCTAAAACAACCCTACCCTCCAGCAGTTTTTCCTTAATAATGAATTTATCTAATTGATCATGAACATACTTTTACCACTTTTAGCAGAATTACTACCAGCTAAGAAAAACAAGGTTTCTTTTTAGTTGTCTTAAAGAGTACCTTTTAGTTCTAACATGCTGAACTATAGCAAATAGTTTACCTGTATCTTGTGTACATCCTTAAGTTTGGTAACCTTTATTGATAAATCTTCTCTGCCTGCATCTTTACAAGATAAAAAGTCAATCTTTACTTCAGCAGTAGTTTATACATGATAGTATATATGAATTATCAACCACAAACCATAACATAGAGAATTAGACTTTATGGAATAATTTGCCATCTAGGGAGGGGGAAACTCTACATGCCACAACATGCAGCTTTGTGTCATGAAATAAAGATTTATGAGAAGTGCTGTTAAAAGTTAAAACAAATCCAAAAGAATAAAGAAAGCAAGAATCCATGTTCTGAGAAAAATAATAAAACCAATTTAACAGACAATTAATGTCTCCCTGTATCAAAATCATGAAATAAGATGACAGAAACTAAATTAGTGCCTAACACTCCTACTACTAACATCTTTAAATTTGTCTTAAAATAGGTTTCAAAATGCAAACAAACAAACATATACAAAAACACCACAATAGCTCTTATGGATATTAAATGTAGATAGTATTTGAAAGTATTTAAAAATAAGTCACCCATTAATTGAAGCTTAAACACCAAATAACAACTTCTTACTAAATTATCAAGACAACTCATATCTGTACAAACATATTTTTAGTTATCTTCATTGTTTTGTGAAAAATTTATTTCATACTATGAATATTCATTTATGGAACATTTTGAAATCACTTTATCAGTAAATTTAAATACCAAAGAAAAAAGTATCAACAGCAGACTTCAAGACTACTCTTCAGTAATAAAATACACTAGGCTAACACACTTTCAGAATGTCAAAATATTTATTTTATTTATTTCTACTCTACTAAAGGATGAAACCAACAAGTACTACTGTAAACCAGACAAGAGGATTTCTCTTAAACAAATATGGAGCAAAAGAAGTGGAAAAACAACTTACTGACACAGAATATAGATACTTTCACAGCATAATTAAAGCAAATTACAGTGTTTGTTTGTTTGTTTGTTTTTCTTTTCCTTAAGAAACACAGCATTTGCTACAGAAAGATTTGTAACCTAATCAAAGTTTTCAAAATTTTCCAATTTCGGTGTCACACAAAATAGCATTAACCCTAAAAATTCACAGCTCAGGGAAGAATGTCCATCAGACGGCCTGTTTGTATACAATGATCTTTAATAATTCTTCAAGAACTACAAAGTCATAGGAAGAAACGAAAAGGAAAATTAAGGAGTAGGAGGTACAAAGTTATCTTATTTGAATCCTAACGAAAACCTAATATGCTCACACACAAAAATGTCAATCCAGTGTTTGAGAGCGAGAGACATTAAAACTGTTCTAACATGGCAGGGTCCCTCTCGAGAAGCCTTATCCCCCAACAATAATAACAGGAACAGATATACTTTCCAGAAGCAGATCTCAGGGGAAGAGTATTAAACCGGTACTGTTATCGATTTAAATCCAAAGGAAAAAGAGTAACCTTTCCAAGGGAAGCGCCATTACTTCCCTCTCCTGCTCCCCCTCCCTTCAGTGTATACACGGGCCTGTATATGAAGAAACTGTCTTGGACTTCTGCAGCATTGCAGCAGACTCAAGGATGGGGTAGGGGGAAGGGGAGGGGGGGAAAAACGCTCCCATCACCCCCTCACCCTCCACATAAGAGGGGTATAGATTTCCTGGGGGGTGGGGATCCACCCAGCAGGCTACCCAGAGCAGTCTCCCTTCCCGAGAACACAGACACTACAAAGGAGAGGAGCAGAGGGACCAGAAGCGAAAGGGACCTCGCGCCTTTTAAATCGGGGTGCACATCTACCCCGTCTCCCTCTGAGGGCCACACCTTCCTCGAGGCATCCCCTTCCACCACCCCTTCCGGTGACCCTCAGGAAAGAGAAAAGTAATTGCTCTTGCCCCTCAAAACAGGAGGGCGTCCACCTCACCAGCTTCTTCACCCCACCCACTGAATCACAGACCCTCCTTGTCTCCCTCCCCCACTCCACCCCCACATCCCTTCTTCCGCCCAGAGGCCAGAGTGGGCCGAATTTCCCCGCCCCCTCCAAGTCTCCCTTTCCCAAAGCAGAGGTGCCCTTACCCTTTCGCCGACAGGTCTGGGGCGGAGTAGGCAGGCGCAGCCCCCTACAGCGCTGGGGTAGCCGCTACGCTGGAAGGCGAGGAGTGAGGAGGAGGAGGGGGCCTGGCGACACACCGCCGCCCCCCCCCCAGGAGCCCCAGCGAGCCGCCCAGCCCAAGCTCTGCGACAAGGGGCGGGGGGGGGGGGCGAGGGGACGACCGGGGTCGAGGAGGCGCCCTCAGCGCTTGGGCTCGGCTAAGATGGCGCGGGGAAGTGCCGGGAGCCGCCGCCACTTCGGGGGAACCGGCCCGGGCCTCGGCCGCCTTCCGTTCTCACACAGCCGAGGCCCTGTCGGTCCCCCGCCGCGGCCCCTCGGCGGGCGGGCCCACGCACAACCCTCTGCCACCAGCACCACCACCCCAGGGAAGGGGGCGCTCACAAAGGGAAGAGAGGCCGCGGGCCGGCCGGCGGGGCGGGGTCCCCAGGGGCCGGGAGGCCTTAGAGGTTCGCGGGTGCCTGGCGCTCTCGGCCCGCGAAGGGCGCAGGCAAGCGGGACCCCTCCTCTCTCCTCAGGCAGGCGGCGGCACCAACTCACTCTCTTTGCCACCCTCCCTCTCTCTCTCCGAGCCCTGAAGCCACAGAACCCCGCCGCTGCCCGGGTTCCCCCCCCTTCCCCGACACCACTCCCCTCCTCCCGACAGTCATCCCAGTCTCCGATCTCGCGAGATTTCCCGCCTGACAGGCCGGACCCCGCGCGAGACACGACTGCGTACCCGTGCACGACCTCACGGGAGCGCGCAACTACTTGCACTGGGCGGAGCCTCCAGAGTGGCCCTGATCCCCAGCCTCTGTCCAGCCTGGCCTCACTCTTCTGGAAGCTTTCTTATGCCTCGCCCGCATCAGGTGTATTCCTGTCACACTAAAATCTGAGAAAGAAAAGCTTATCTCTTCCTTCCATTTTCCCATCCGCCCACCATTGGTTCTGCTATTGAGAAGTTTACCCTGACATGTAGAATATCCCATTCTTACATACCTTAGTTCAACCCCTCCGTGGAATTAAGAGGTAGACTGGTCAGCGTAATCAGTATATAATTGAGTTTTTAAGATTCTAATAGTTTATAATAATTTTTGGAAAGGTAATGAGAGTTAGAAATACAGAGCTAAGCCACTCTGTATGTTGGTGACGGTAGAAAAGAGAAATTCTTTTTTTTTTTTTTTTTTTATCCTCACCCGAGGACATTTTTCCATTTTTTGTACAGACAGAGTGGGAGGGAGAGAGAGGAAGAGAGAGAGAGGGAAACATCGATGTGAAAGGGACACATCGAGTGGCTGCCACCCGCACGACCAACCAGGGCCGGGGACAAACTGCAACCAAGGTACATGCCCTTAGTGGGAACCGAACCCGGGTCTCTCCAGACCGCAGGCCGACGCTCTAACCGCTGAGCCAAACTGGCCAGGGCGAAAAGAGAAATTCTTGAAAAGCTTTTGTGGATTTTTTTTAGTAGGTTGAGTGATGAGAAATTTTTTAAACAAGAGCAGTCAACAGAATCCTTAAAAGTACTAATTCAGAAAATAAATAGAGCCTCTCGTGTGTGTGTGTGTGTGTGTGTGTGTGTGTGGTGAAAACTTTTTTTTAGGGAAAAACCCCTTCCGTGGACTACAAAGAGCAATTTTACACAAGAACTGAAAGATGTGTCCAAAATGCAGTCTTTAAAAAAAATCTCGGTTCTTGCCCTGGCCAGTTTGGCCCAGCGGTTAGAGCGTCAACCTGAAGTCCAGAAAAAAAACCGGGTTTGGTTCCTGCTAAGGGCACGTGCCTCCGTTGCAGTTTGTCCCCGGCCCTGGTTGGGCCGTGTGGGTGGCAGCCACTCGATGTGTCCCTTTCACATCGATGTTTCTCTCTCTTTCTTCCTCTCTCTCCCTCCCACTCTATCTGAACAAAAAATGGAAAAATGTCCTCGGGTAAGGATAAAAAAATAAATAAAGGTCTCGGTTCTTCAACCAACAAAACTGATATAAATATATTTGTTGTATAGGATTTATGAGTAAAAATGTACTCCAAAACAATTATTGGAAGATACAATAAACTGGGAAAGTAAACTGCTGTGATCAGAAACACAAGCTATCTGCTTCAGTGGGATATACAAATTATTTGTTCCAAAGATTCTCTTAGTTAAAGGCCCTTGTTCTGAGTCAGCCATTCCTCTTTTCACCTACATTGTCAAACACTCTCAAACGGCAACTGCCCCTCAGTATAAAAAATACGCCTTTGCCCTCACCACTGTGCCTCAGTTGGTTAGAGTGTCATCCTGTACCCCACAGGGTGGCGAGTTTGATTCCTGATCAGGGCACATACCCAGGTTTTCAGGTTCAATCCCCGGTTGAGGCACATGGGGAGGGCAACTGGTCAATGTTTCTCACATCGATGTTTCTCTCCCTCACTTCCTCCCTCTAAGATCAATAAAAAAGAAAAAAGCAGTGTTTAAGTTCTAAATATTCATCAAGAACATTTCTTTCTTTTTTTTATCCTCACCTGAGGACATTTTTGCATCCATGTTCGAATAGAGCAGGAAGGTGAGAGGGAGGGAGAGAGAAACATCGATGTGAGAGAGACATCTATGTGAGAGACACACACCCACTGGCCGCCACCCACACAACTCCATGGGGACAGGGACAAACTGCAACCAAGGCATGCACCCCCAGCGGGAACCAAACCCAGAACTTTCCGGATCCGCGGGCCAACGCTCCAACCGCTGAGCCAAACTGGCCAGGGCAAGAATATTTGTTTCTTAAGAGAACATAGTAAAAAAAAATGCACATCCAGCCAGTGTGGCTCAGTGGTTGAGCATCAACCCATGCACCAAGAGGTCACTGGTTTGATTCCCAGTCAGGACACATGCCCAGATTGTGGGCCCAATCCCCAGTGGGGGGCGTGCAGGAGGCGGCCAATCGATGTGTCTCTTTCACGTGGATGTTTCTCTCTCCCTCTTTCTCTCTTCTTCTCTCTCCCTCCCACTC